TCTCCCTCCTGCTCTATCTGAACAAAGAATGAAAAAGTGTCCTCGGGTGAGGATAAAAAAATAAAATAAAATAAAATGTAAAGAAAAAAAAAAAAAAAGAAGAAGTGCTATTTTTACTTTGCCCTAAAACTATTTCTTTAAAATGATAAAGTTGGGTTTTATCGTTCTTGTGCTGTGGGATTTAATAAGTTCACATTTTTATCCTGTGATTCTCATTATTTTATAAATTTCAATCACAATCTCTCCTTAGCCTGTGTCTTTCTGGAGTAAAAGCCCTAATTCTTTTATCATCCCTCACAAAGAATTCTCTCTACCCTCCGTGTCGATTTAGATCCTTCTCCAGACCTTGTCTGGCTCTGTACATCTCTGAGCTACGTTGGTTCATTGGACCCCTATCGTTTAGTTCGTTATTCTGTATGAAAGAGCACAATGACTTCAGCTAGAATAAAATGTAGGGATATTAGAGACACTTTTCAAAACCAAACACTAGCCCTGGCCAGTTTGGCTCAGTGGTTACAGCATTAGCCCACAGACCAAAGAGTTAGGGGTTCAATTCCAGTCAAGGATGAGTAACTCAGTTGCAATTCAGTCCTAGCCCTGGTTGGGGTCATGCGGGAGGCAACCAGTCAATGTGTCCCTCTCACATCAATGTTTCTCCCCGCCCCCCCATCCCCCCCACACACACACTCTATCTGAAGATAAATAAATGGAAAAATATCCTTAGGTGAGGATTTAAAAATAAATCAAACACTATTTTGTTGCATGTCAGCCCAGCATAGGCTGAAAAAATACACATTTTGCTTCAATTCAAATCAATTTGAGCACACAGGTACTAAGCAACCTTGTACTCTATTATGAAAATGAGAAATTGCAAAATACTTTCACATACATTATCCTATTTGACCCTTGTGTGAACCATGCAAGGCAGAAAACACATATTATTATCCTCGTGCTTCTCATGGAAAAGTAAAGCTGGGTCCAGCCCAAGGTCAGACAGCTGGATCAGGGCCCAGCCGCTGGCCCTCCCTCGCAAGCATGATGCTCTGTTCGCTGAGTGATATGCCTTCCTCATGCGCACTTGTGATTTATTTCAGAGGTCCACAGCACAGCCACGAAATAGTCTGTGGTCCTACTGAAAGAAAAGATGGTTAAGGTTGGGGTAGGCCCTCCACCTGCTCCCCAGGGCCATCTCAGCCACGTCACCGGTATCAATATCACCTCCTCGCACATGACTCCCCAGCTTGTGTCTCTAGGCCACACCTTTCTTCCAAGCCCCAGACAAGGATATAAAACTGCACGTCTGATGTCTCCTGGACGTCTCAACGTGTACAAAAGCCCTTCTGCACCCATCGTATTCCCCTCCACTGCCAAAACCCAACCCTCGTTTGACGTTCCTCCTCTCAAATGCCGATCCAGAAACCCAGGAGTCAGCTTGGCTGTTCCCTCGCCCTCCCCTCCCCTGCCCGGTCCAATCGTCCTTTCGCCTTCCCCTCCGGCGCAGCCCGCTGTCCTGCGCACTTACTTCTCTCTTCCCACCATCACCCCTCAGTCCAAGGTGCCATCGCTCGCATGGGACTTTCATTGACTCCAGTCCTCTCTCCCCACCACGTGTAGCTGAACAAATTCTTCCAAATATGCCACTCTGGCCATGCCACCCCTAACCCCTTCTGCTTAGACGCTTCAATAGCATCACTTTGCTTTCAGGGTAAGGGCAAAACATCCGTCACTAGCCCACGGGTCCCTGTCTCGTCTGGGCCCCACCCCCAGCCTCACCTCATGACCCTCATCTCGTCCTCAAGCTCCAGTCCCCCCGGGTCTTCTTTCAGCCTCGTTTACTCACCGTGCTCTTTTTAGCCCCGGTGTTCTAGAATATTCTTTCCTAATTTCCAGAATTAGCTTCTCAGAAGGCTCCACCCGCACATAGAGATTCAAGGGTCTTTCTTCAGGGAAACCTTTTTTGGCCTCTCTGCGTTCAATTCCCCCTTCATAGTTTACGCAGCACTGGTTTCGCGTGGTCTAGTGAATTTAATATGTCTCCCCATTAAATTTATAAACTTTTGCTCACTATCATATTCCCTGAGCTGCGCTGAGCTTAGCACATGCATGCACATCAATACATGTTTGTTAAATGAATGAATAACCCCACTAATAAGGAAATGGTTGTGGATGGTAAACACCCTCAGTATGGAATACTAAGCAGCTGTCAAAAACAATGAGATAAGACTGTGTTTACTAATAAGGAATGATGTCCATGACATATTACTGATTTAACACAGTGCATTACAGAACATTATGCATACTGTGATCAGTTATTTTTAAAACCTATGTATGTCTTTATTTTTAAAAACACACACACAAACAATCTCTGTGCGTATGCACGTGTGTTTGTATGTGTTTTATATGGTCTGCAAAACTAAGACCAAACTGCTTACAGTGGCTTCCCTAGAGAATGGGAATGAGACAGGAGAAAGAAAAATAGAATAACAATTTCTACTCGTAAACTCCTTTCTGGTTATTCCCATGTGTTATTGCTGTAATTATTTTAACAATACCACTTTTTAAATAATGATGCAATTCACTAACGTTCAGGAAACTGTTTCTAAATACAGCAAAAAAGGAAAAACGAAACTACTTTGTATATGGTTCCTTGACAGTGATAAAGTCCCCCCCCTCCCCCCGAAAAGCACATTTCCAGCTCAGCTCTTCCATCTAGCAATGAGCGGGGAGGAAGAAGCGAAATGGAAGCAAACAATCAGACGTGCTGGCATGTGTCCGTTAGGTCTCCCCTCACTGTGACTTTTACAAAAAAAAAAAAAAAGCTTTGAAAAAAATCACTGCTCCTGGTCTTACTTATTCAGTAGTAGAAGAGAAAAATAACAGAAAGAATAACATGGATTTTTCTTACTTAGATTTTTTTTGGTGTTGTTTAAGTGATGATGTGAAGACATCTCTATTTTCCTTCAGTCGCCAAATGACAAACACTCTTGCTGTCTTTGCCATAGCTCCACTGGAAAAGATCGCCCCCTAGAGCCAGCAGGTGGTCGTGGAGGCAGCAGGGACAGATACTGTGAGATGCAGACAGGATTCTTCCCCAGCTAACAGCACAAACCCTCACCCTGGTGGCGAGAGGGGGGTATGCAGGTGGCCAGACCCGGTTCCCAGAAGGGGGCAGATGTGTGGGAGTGAGTGACTTTGCCTGCAGCGAGCCTACCAGGGTGAGCTGGGGACAGTCCATGAATACAGAATAAATGCTGTCACTTCGAGCTACATTGATTCTTTTTTCAGACTAATGGCTCAGTTGGTGGAAGAACCAAGCGATGACTAAAATATGAGTCAAATGCTTTCAAATCAAATTATTCCAGTGAAGTAGGAACACAGGCAAGCAGAGAGCAGGTCATTAGAGGTTCTAACCAGCACTTGCTAAACCTGAAGAAACTCCCTCTCATTAATGACTGCCTCTTTCAATCTCAGTCATTTTGACTTTAGTGAGCTGGGGACAATCAATCTGTATGACTAGTGACACCTTCTGATCAGCTCTGAACCGTGGGACAGGTAGCTCCCCTCTGGGCTTGTGCACTTTCCCAGTCCTGACTGCATTCGCCTCCTTCTCTCCCGGGGTCTATCCAGCATGTCTGCAATTATCCCAAAGGGCGTCAGGAAATTCAAAAATTAGCCTCCAAGTTGGTGTCTTGGTAGTTTTGAAAACCAACTTTCATTGAAATACAAAGAGCTCACATTACTGAGAAGTAAGGCTGGGGGGAGGCAGGAGATGCATGTCGTCAGAGTCGATGGAACCACAGGGCGTCAGTTCAGAAGGCTCGGAGGTGCCAGCTGCACGTGGAGAGACCGCAGCACGTGCCGACCCTCGTGGAAGCAGCAGACAGGTGCATGGGTTCCCTGCCATCTCCCCCCCCCCCTTCCTTCTGCCAATTTCTCCACTTCACATTCTTTCCCCCAAAATGTTCACCCCCGTTAAGCAATTCAGTTCCTCCACAGCCTTTTTGGTGCAGAGACCCTGAGAAGATGGGTATTTTCAAATGGCCTAAGGTACTCACCAGAAAACAAAGCCCTCACTGTGTTTATTGAAACAGGATCCCCTTCAAGAATAACTAGGCGTACCCCCATCCCTGTGGTACCAGGTATGTCTGCATCCCCATCCCACACTCCTCCTTTTTGGGCATCAGCAGTCATGAAGTAGAAGCAGAGAACAATGTTCAGCCCCCAGCAAAGGTGCAGGACCTCTCCCCACAGACCAGAGACGGCAGCTTCCCCCAGCCTGGCCGGGCATCCTACCCACTCTGCCCTCTTCTCTGAATGGATTCACTTAGATGTCAGTGCAATGTATTCTTTTTTAAACATTTTATATTGTGGCAAAATATACATAACATAAAATTTACCATTTTAACCATTTTTTAAATATGTCTTTATTGATTTTAGAGAGAGGAAGAGGGATAGAAACTGATGAGCGAAACCTCCACCAGCTGCCTCCTGCACGCCCCCTACTGGCGACCGAGCCTGAAACCTGGGCATGTGCCCTGATGGAATTGAACCAGCAAACTCTTGGCGCATGGGACAAGGCTCAACCAATTGAGCCATGTTAAGTAAATAATTCAGCGGCATTAAGCACACACACACTGTTGTGCAACCATCACCACCATCCTCTCCAGAACTTTCTCATCTTCCAAAACTGAAACACTGTACCCAGTAAACCCAAATTCCCCTTTGCCTCCTCCCCCAGCCCCTGGCAACCACCATTTTACTTTCTGTTCTATGAATTTGACTACTTGAGATACTTCATATAAGTAGAATCACACAGTATTTGTCCTTTGGTGACTGGTTTATTTCACTTAGCATAATGTCTTCAAGGTTCACCCATGTTGTGGCACACGCCAAAATGTCCTCCTTTTTTAAGGCTGAATAAGACTCCATTGTATGGACATACCACATTTTGTTTATCCATTTACCTGTCGAAGGATATCTGGGTTGTTTCATAGTCTTAATTTTACAATTTAAGACATGCAGAAAATTCAAATTCAATTCAATTTATTGATTATTAACCAAGGGTACCTCACTGTGCTAGGTACTGTGGGGGTACGAAGGGGGATTCGAGGTGGCACCTGCTCTCGAGGAGCTTACACTACTTGGGAAGGTAGAACAGAAAGAAGTGAAAGTGACTAGCGTCTGCTAATTGCTGCATGTGCTCGTCGCTTTGCCCGATCACTGCATGTACCACTCACCACCTTGTGAGGTAGATGACACATCTACAAAATAGTGCAAAGATGAAGGCTCAGAGACCTGAAGGAACCTCCTCCAACTCTTGGATTCATGATCCTGTGTCTATTCCAGCAGGCATGCCGCTCCCTTCGGAGCGAGGCAAAATGTGAGAATTCCTGGGGAGAAGCTACGGGAAGGGAAGGCAAGAGATGACCACCCTCCTGAGCGGCAGGCTCACTGCAAACAGTCTTGCAGGTCAGGACGGCTCATGCTGGACAAGATAAGGGAGGGAACGCGAGCAGAGCGGAGGAGGGGCAGGGAATCACAGTGCAGTCTCAAGGAGTGTGAATGCCACCATGTAGACAATGGTGAGCCATTGCAGGTTTCCTAAGATGAGACATAGTCGTAGCTGTGCTTTGGGAAGGTAACTGTGGCAATAATGTATCACAAAGATTAGTGTGTGGGCGTGGGGTAGAGTTTAAAGGTAGGAAAGCCAGTGCTAATTCACTCTGAATTAGCAGATAAGACTTAATTAGTCAAATGGAAAAGAGGATATGGAGGTGCGCACTGTCTTATTGGTGGGGATGACAGAACCTGGCCACTGACGCATTCTGAATGGGTGACCCTACACCCGCATCCCGGGCTGCGGAGGACACCTGTTTTCCTGGTGCAATTCCTAACAAGGTCCTTTCTCTCTCAGACAGGTCCAAGTTTGGACAGTAAAGTACATGATCACACTAACTATGAGGAATAAGAGGAAAGATTCAGAGGTGACCCTCAAAGATGTTGAACCTGAATTAGTAAGGAAAGTGGTAACACCTTCAGAAATACAGGAGGGAAATCAGGTTTTCAGAAAGATTATGCGTTTGGATTCACACATGCTGAGTCTGCTGCTGAGTGAGGATTTATTTGAGGGAGATGAGCACCTTGCCCGTGGATTTGCGCTGTATCACGTGAAGGAAGGCATCATTGACCTAAAAAAAAAAATCCCAATATATAATAGAAAGGTTTGCATACATGCATATTTCAACAAACATTTGTTGCTGGTTCAATTCTTAAAATAGCTAACGTATTAAGATATGTCTTCAATGAACTGTATATAGATAACTATGTAATACTGACTAAATAATCAGCACAAACTCAAAGGAAAACAATAATATTTCAGAGTAATCCAGTCTCAGTAATCCAATCTGCCTGAACGCTAATCGTCCGTGTCGTCAGATAAAGGGCAGCAGGAAGAAGCCATCAGGCCTGTCCACACTCCAGCCGTGTGTTCTAGCTGCTCAAGGGACGGAGCCACTGCAGGAAGAATCAGTCACTTACTACTTTACAATTTTTCCTTTTTATTAAAAGTGTCCTATTTCCAGTGTGTCTGAAATAGCAATCTATCTCAAATTCATTTTTAGAAGTCCACGTTATAAAACATAAATTAAAAAGCAACCACAGTAATCACGACAGTGTGACACTGGTGAAAGAGTAAACAGATCAGTGGGACGGATGAGCGAGCCCCGAAACAGGCCCACACAAACGAAGACAGCTGGTCGTCTGACAAAGGAGCCGGGGCAACTCAGTGCAGAAAGGGTAGACTTTGCAAGAAATAGCTGAAACCACTGCACAGCCACTTGCAAAAAACGAATCAAGACACTGTCCTGACACCTTTCACAAGTTTCAACTGAAAATGGATCTTACATCTAAATGTAAAAGGCAAAACGGATTATGGTAGCAGGGGACCACCCTGACGTTCATCCAAGGGAAGGGATCCTCAGCTGTGGTGAGTACAAACCATGCACCACAGCAGTGGGCAGTCGTGAACCGGACCCAGGACCAGCAGTACGGGTGGGTCTTTAAAAGGCAGCACTGCGTGGAAAATTCAGAAACAGCGTAAGAGCTACAGCACAACCCTGTGCTGTTACTTGTTGATGCATCTTGAGACCGAGTCGGAGGAGAAAAAGGTGTGGGGAAGGAGGATAAAGGGAGTAAATAAATACAGACATCCATAAATACGTGGACATAAAAGCAAAAGATGGGCCTCGCCAAGATGAAAATGTGCTTTGAAACGAGAATTATGATTAAATAGCCTTTTCCACTGGAAATCCTCCCCCACAAAGCCAAATAAAAATAAATAAGTAAAAAAGCAGGGAAACAAATCAGTCGTGGCGACCTCTGCGGCCGGCGCCAAGAACGTGTGTTTCGGGCTTTGTGCTTTCCTGGGCCCTTGGCAACCTACAGACTGAGGAGGCGGAAGAGGGTTAAGAAAGATGTTGAAACGCTCATCCTGCCTGTCAATCCCTCAAAGACACATCTCCCAGTGACTCACTCTCCCTGTCAGTTAGAAGACACTTGTTCCCAGAGACCTGTCAGAGCCCAGCAACAAAACTACTCGGGGAAACAAGCACAAGTCGAGATATCGATACTTTTTCACCTGGCATCTGAGACCAGTGAGGACTCTTCTGCAGATCCGTGTTAATATACAAAGAAAATTCTCACGTCAGAGGTGAACGCATATTTTTAATCATGTTACACAGCAATCTTTATAAAAATGTAGCACCCAGGTACCTGACCTCTTTAAATGATAATACTGGGGGGAAGCATAACCATCCTGTTCCGTGACTTGGGAATCTCATAAGTTTGAACATCCATTATTTCACCTCCTGTTTTTGACATTCTCTTACTTTGTGTGTCCAGCTGCCACTTCGCTGTGATTGTAGCTGCTTCTAAAAATAGCCCAGCTCTGTTCCTTCCCACCCTGTGGTTTCTGTCTGAGCTGGGGAAACAGACAACCTGTGATGTTAAGGACTAGATGCTTAATAAGAGTGATAAGGTTTGGAGTGAGAAACTAAGAGACAAAGTGCAGGGCTTTGGACCAGAGTCTTTTGGTAGCTAATTCGGATGGATGCCCGGGGACATTTTCCTCTCGTATTGTACAGGCTGCGGCTCAGAGGGAGGCTCCGGCTGTGCCCAGACACAGGCTGTGCCCAGAACCCTGATTCTCTGCCTTGCAGTGATGAAGCCCTAATTAAATTTGTCTCTGCAGATATGCAGCCTGGAATTGGGGAGCAGGGTGAGGATACTGCTTTTGTTTTGGGTTCAGCTGTTGGAATTTTTAATTAGCTCATTAAGCAAGAACAATCAGAGAGTAACCTATGGTTCCCTAAATACACTCTGTCAAGCCCTGGCTGGTTTGGCTCAGCAGTTAGAGCATCGGCCCATGAACCAAAGAGTTACAGGTTCGATTCTGGTCAAGGGCACGTACCTCAGTTGCAGTTCGGCCCCAGTCAGGGTCGTGCAGGAGGCAACCACTCAACGTGTCCCTCTCACACTGATGTTTTTCTCTCTCTCTTCCTCTCTCCTCTCCCTCCCACTCTGTCTGAACAAAAAAAAAGAAAAGAAAAAAAAATATCCTCGGGTGAGGATTTAAAAAAATAATAGCCCTGGCCAGTTTGGCTCAGCGGTTAGAACGTCGGCCTGCGGTCCGGAGAGACCCGGGTTCGGTTCCCACTAAGGGCACGTACTTCGGTTGCAGTTTGTCCCCGACCCTGGTTGGTCGTGCGGGTGGCAGCCACTCGATGTGTCCCTTCACGTCGATGTTTCTCACTCTCTCTCCCTTCCTCTCTCTCCCTCCCATTCTATCTGTACAAAAAATGGAAAAATATCCTCGGGTGAGGATAAAAAAAATAATAATAATAATAATAATAATAAATAAACAGCCCTGGCCAGTTTGGCTCAGCAGTTAGAGCGTCGGCCCGCGGACCAGAAAGACCCAGGTTTGGTTCCCGCTAAGGGCATGTACCTCGGTTGCAGTTTGTCCCTGGCCCCAGTTGGGGTCATGTGGGTGGCAGCCACTCGATGTGTCTCTCTCGTATCAATGTTTCTCTCTTTCTCTTCCTCCCTCTCTCCTTCCCGCTCTATCTGAAGATAAATGCAAAAAATAAATACACTGTCAATTCATGCTTGCCATTTCAAACCAGCTCCATCAAAGCACTGTCCTGAGATCTTTCCAACTAAAAACTAAATTCTTTAAGTCTTACTTTTTATTGATTGGTATACATAATGTACCCAGTGAATGTTTGATAAGATAAACTCATGAATGAATGAATGAATGAATGAATGAATGAATATATCTGGGACTGAATGGGATTGTTTTTAAAAGGTAAAAACATTTAGTTGCTGACACTGTCATAGTTGAATTATAGTCATCATATCATTGTTCTGATACAAGTTGATCTGAATCTTCTTTCAAAAGTCAATCAATGCATTTCACCAAAAAAGATAGAGATGGCAAACGTGCACGTGAAAGGATACTCAAAATCATTATTTGTTAGAGAAACGCAAATTAAACCCACAGTCAGATATTACTCCACACCTGTTAGAATGGCCATAATTAAAGAAAGCAACTGACAACAATAAATGCTGGCAGATGCAGTGACAGAAACTCTCATACCTTGTCGGTGGGAATGCAAAGTAAGACAACCACTTTGATAAACAGTTTGGTGGTTATTGATAGTTAAACATAGAGTGGCAAATCAGTACAAACAAAATCTTAATGTGTTCAAAGAGTGATGCTGGAGCACCAGTCTCTAACCAAGAATACACACACACACACAGAAAACCTATGAGCTATGAACTTTGGTAGGAACGCGATAGGAATGGCCTCATCTTCAAAACCATGGGCTGCAGAGACTGTGTCGAATTGCTTCGGAATCACTGTGGCCTGGAGAGTGAGCTGCTGATATAATCAAGCTCGCTCCTTCTAACATCGACTTGCGTTATTTGTAGGGTTCCACATAGATTTCTTTGCACGGACATTCCTACCTAATGATGTTATCTAGACAACACTGGGAACTGGGGGCGGAGGAAACCCTGCTCTGGAAGTAAAGCCAAATAAATGTCTGTGTCGATTTGAAAAGAAAAAGTTAAACAAACACTTAGCACATGACCCAGAAATCCCAGTCCTAAAAGTTGAAAAAAAAAAAACTTGTTTTCAACCGGTTTGACTCATCGGTTAGAGCGTCGGCCTGCAGACCAGAGTTGCAGGTTCAGCTCTGGTCAAGGGCACGTACCTCAGTTGCAGTTTGGTCCTGGCCCTGGTTGGGGTCGTGCGAGAGGCAACCAATCAATGTGTCTCTCTCTCTCTCTCATCAATGTTTCTCTCTCTCTCTCTCTCTTTTTCCCTCCCTCCCTCTCTATCTGAAGATAAATGGAAAAATATCCTCAAGTGAGGATTTAAAAAAAAAACTCAAACGTGAATATTTACAGAAGGTGTACTTAGAACCACCAAAAACTGAAAATAATCAAATATCCCATGAACTGATCAAAAAGCGTGTTTCAGTACATCCATACAATAAAATACCATTCAGCAATAAAAAGAACAACTGCTGGCACATGCAAAACCACAGATGACCCTCAGAAGCATATGCAGCACCGAAGAGGCCAGACTCAGAGGGCTACCTACCGTATGACTCCATTTATACAGCAGTCTGCAGAAAGCAAAATTATGGGGAAAGAAAATAGATCAGTGGTTGCCAGGGACTGTGGAACCGAAGGGGGTGATTACAGAAGGGCACAGGAGACTTTTTGGAGTGATGAAAAATTCTGTACCTTGATCGTAGTGAGGTGGTTACATGACTATATATGTTTGTCAAAAGTCAGAGCAAATTTTACTATAGGTAAATTATACCCCGAAAATCCTGACTTTAGGGGGTCAAAGGGATGGTGACACCTGTACTAATGTCAACAATAAAAATAAAGAAAACCTGACTTCAAAAAAAGTCAAGCCATGTATTATTATTAAACACACAAATAAATATTCAAAGTGTCAACCTGGGTTCCTTAGAAAGAGTCTAATCAGAACGTGTGTCCCAGCACTTCCTTGCCGCCCAGGGAGGCCAGGGCGAGGGGAAAGCGGAGGGAATACAGCAGAGAGAAGAGGAACCCGTGTGTGGTACTGATCCTGAACTGGCCTCAGCTTCAGGGG